ATTAATTTAAACATTTGGTGAAAGCATCTTTAGCAGCAACTACACCTTAGTAATCTTTCTATAAGTCTCTACCAACTTTGCACAGGGGCTTGAGGGATTGCATTGGAGATCGCTTATAGGCAGCAGTTCTAAAGCATTTCCACTGATTCTCAATGGGATTGAGATTAGTCCTAGTATCTTTCACTTAAAAGACAACCTTATTCTTAATACACTCCAGCACAGCTCAGGGTCATCCTCCAAAACATGATTTTTTCCCCCAGCTTTGCTTAGCAGATTGAAGTGGATTTTCTGCTGAAATTGGCTGTACATTGCACCATTTATTTCCCCCCATATCTTGACAAGCTTCTCAGTCCCTGTCGATGGGAAGCAGTCCCATAGCATAATGCTGCCAGCACCATGCTTGACAGTAGGGTTGGTGTTAGCTGGGTGAGGCTGTGTTGCTTGTGCTAGGCGTAACATTTTGCATTTAGACAGAAGATTTTAAAGTTTTCTCTCGTCTGACCACAAAACACATTTTGCGACATTTGCATTTGTGTTAATGCTTTGTTGCTAACTCTGTGCATCCATTTGTAACGGCATCCTTTTTGCCACTCTGCCAGCTTTGACTTAAGAGCATTTTCTCCTTGAACTATGTTTTTTCAAAGCTGTTCATAGCAGCATCCTTAGTGAGATTCCTCTTTGACCAACTGATAAGTTTGGATGGGCAGTCTGATCTAGGCACTCTCTAGCTCAATCCTGTCTATGATCAATCCTGATCAAAGGGTTAAATAATGTCTGGCTTTCTGTATCGCCTTCTTTTGGTTACTCTTATGTCCTCGGTCTTCATTGTTGAATCTTTTCTTGAAATTCACTATCTAAATTAAAGATGTTACAAGATGTATAATTATTTAGGAACATGAGAATCGCTAACATCCAGACAGAGGCCACTCAACTAATTTTGTGGCTCATTAAGGTTATCTTGCTTATCTAAATTTAGTTTTGCCACATGCTGTACAGTATTTACACTAACATGACAATTACATTACAGTTTTGTTTTCATATTCTTCATATAAATTATCTATTAGTTTTTCATTTTGGTTTGTGTTTTGAATGTGTTGAGTGGGTTGTGTATAAAACATTGTTACTTTCAAGTGTCATGTCTACAACATAATGTGAAAAATGTGCAAGGGTCTGAAGTACTGTATTATATTGTGCATAGTTTTGTAAAACAGTGTATATATAACATTGTGTAGATTTCTTAGAACAGCATACTGGTTCTGCAATCCTGATATTTTGTGTGCAATTTAAATCACTGTAGCTAAAAAGTCCTTGAAAGTGTGTCTCATCAAATGTCAGACTTAATAATTGTATTGTTAACCGCCTTGGGGCAACCTTGTTGTGAAATGCGCTATATAAAAATAAATTGAATTGAATTGAATTCCCAACCTTCTAGTGCCAGACATGCAGTTGATCTAAGACACTATAGGAGAATGAACAGAAGCCACAAATAGTAAAATAAATGTAGTCTTTTTGGAATTTAACTTTGTATGGTCTAATATTTAATGGTAAGACAGTATGGTAATGTTTTTTTTCAGATTGTAAGAGTTCCAAGTGGTGTGACACAAATTCTTGAATTAAATTTTTCTCTGACTGGTTCTAGTATTCACCTTATCCATATTCAAATAATGAATTATTTTCTCTAAAAACAAATTAAAAGTAATCTTTATAAATCCTTTGACACTCAGTTGTGGTGAGCCTTATATTTTATTATTCAAGATGATTAAAGAGGCTTCATGTGTTTATAATATCCTGTACCAGTTGATGGGCTGAAGATCATTTGTTTATAACCTAACCACATGCTTAAAAGGAGTCTAGACGTCAGCCTACTTCTGCATTTGATAATTTTGGTTTGACTATATGAGCAAAAAATGAATGAATGACGGCAAAGTAAAAAAATAAAAAGAAATAAATGCATAAAGTTTGTCCAAGCCTTAAACATCTGTCACAAAAACCTTCTAAGTTATTTGTCCAAAAGGGTTAGCTTTTTTTGTTTAAGGAAATATTTGAACATAATCAAGAACTGACTTTATTCATGCATGGTTTTCTAAAAAAACTTTGTTGTACAAACTTCTAGCAATCATTCTAAAGAGGAAAGGGCTAAAAAGATTGGTGATCTAGAGACCCTTCTTGTGTCAGTTCCACACAAAGCATACAGTACGCAATAGTGATTTGAGCACTGGTTTCTATGTCATTTTCCCCATGCTTAATAAAGGAACAAACACATTTCAAGCATAAAGGCACATTGAGATGTTTAAAATATTTTAATTTTTTTCTATAATCTGTTTTGCCCACTGCAAGTGTATACCCTGAATCTCCAATGAACTTGAATGTTGACAATGCGTACAAACAGCTAATTTGTCCTCATAACAGCCTAATGGGGTTAGAACAGTAGAAAGGAGAAGAAAAGGGCATGAACCTATCTGAAAATCACTTGTGGCATACACAAGGCTATAACTTGGCAATCTCTCAAGTAAAATATCGATTTCTAGTGAGTAAGCAAATATGAAGAGGAGGGCATTAGATAATCATAACCAGAAGATTTTTTTTCTGCTCTCTTGGCAGTTGACAACACGTTCTGCAGCTTGATCATTGCTGAGTGATGCACATACTGTATATCTATAATTATATGGCAACTGAAGTGAAACACCTCTATTACCGTCTGGAACAGTGGGCCCACTAACAAAATTCTGTCTCGGAGGCAAAGTAAAGAACACACGCTACCTTGACACACAAAGGCAGTGGTTTACACTTTTCTAATTTTCCTTTCTGGGCTGGGGTGCGCTGTCTCATGTGAGAAACAGTTAAGCCTAGAAATCATACAAAAATAATCTAGTCACTGGAACCTGAAAACACTTTTTCCACATGAAATTCTTAACTCTTTTGTCTGCTGGTAGAGTATACTGTAACCATGCTCTTGAAATATGCTGGAAAACCTAAAACCAGCAGGCTGCTTGGGAAATATATATTTTGTATTGTCACTAGTTAATTCCTTCTCCAACTACTGTATATCACGGATTTACTGTACAGCTTTTTATGGTTTTGAGACCAGGTTTCAACTGCTGCCTGTAGGTTTACACTGCATACTGTACATAAAAGGGAAATACAGAAGACTAATTAATCCATGAGAATAGTCTGTCACTTAATCTGAGATCTGCTGATTCAGGCCTTTTTCTTCTGCCTTAGGCTGCACACAGTGGGTGATAGAGCATCTCTTGTGCAGCTCCATGTCTGTGGAACTCGTTGCCCAAATCCATTAGGAGTCATTTTTAAAACTCACTCAAAGACTTTCTTTTCCCTGTAGCTTTTAATGTTTGATTTAGTTTTATCGGGTCAATTTGCCGGGCTCTGTTTCCTCTTTCTTTTTATTTGTTATATATATTTATTTCACAAACTGTTAGCACTGTGTTTTAACAAAGAAATGTATAAAATTATTCATATTTATAATAAAATTAAGACATTTGCAGTACTGTACTGAAAATGTAGACCTTTTGGCAAAGTTGATCATCTACAGTATACAGAATATAGTATTCACTTACATTCTGGGAAAAAATCATTTTTAGACATGGCTATGTGATTTGTTTAATTTTGGAACTGTAGATTAGATTGTGTAATACGAGTTATAAGATGATTCCCACCCTCCAGCTTAAGTTTCAAGATATTTTACATGTCTAATGTGAGTACTGGACAGCATGATGCTATGTGAGCAGCCTCACAACTCTGGAGTCCTGTGTTCAAATCAAGCACATCTCTGAGGTAATTGATCCTGTTCATCCTGTGTTCATGTGGGTTTTTGCTGGGTGCTACAGTACGTGTGCTTCACTCTCTCGAGGCTATTGCAAGTTAGGTTTGATTGGCTTCTGTAACTGGTGTCCGTCACCATGACAAAAGGTAACTGGGGTTTCTGCCTCATTATTTGCCAATGAGCCGAGTGATTTTGATACCTGTCTCCCTTATGACAAAATCTGGCTATGGGGCTACATAGATTCATATACTGTAATGTTTGTGCAAGGTCTTCTGAACTAAACCTCATCTAATTTACCAACAGCAGCTTATGGCCTTGATAATCATCACGACCTGGGTGGAGCCCCATGTACAGTATAGTCTTAATGCAATAATACTCAGTAGCATTGCAGAATAAAACACTTTGCGTTTCCAATAATGCTTACTGTTTTGTAAGATTTATAGGTAGATTCAAACAACTGGCTAACTTGACTGTCACTTCAAACACCTCTGTGTGCCACTAAAGGCTACCTAATGGAATTGTCTGAAGAACATTTAAGTAATCGACACGCTGCCCTTTTGGTATTTATTTAAAAAAATATCCCATAATCTTATGCACATATTTATTTTATTTTTTTTAAATTCTGCCTGCATTTCTATGTCTACTTCTATCTTGAGAAGGACCCTGTTTTTGAAAAATAGTTTTTGCTTAATTGTTGCTTTTCCCATTATAACATAATAACATAACATAACATTTTCAAACTAAAATTAACAGGGATACTGGTATAACATCTTTAACCATACTAGTTATACCAGTATCCCTATTAATTTTAGTTTGAAAATTGCTAGTAAAGCTGACATTATTCTAACAAGTTCAGTTGCATATGATTCTTCCCTCTCTTCTGCTGGGTAACAGGGTAGGAAAATATAATTTACTGAAAACGTAAGATACAGTATATATTAAAAGTTACAAATGAGAGGAGATCATTTGACCTATTTTGCTTGCTTGGTTCCCAGTAGCTCATCAGTCCCATAATATCAACATGCTGCTTCGTGAAGGGCCTCAGTAATTAGGCTTCACCAATAGGGCATGGCATTTATGATCTTCCAGGGTTCATCTAGACAACAAGAGCGTCAGATCAGGTTGATATGATGTTTTAGCAAGTCCGGATCTTCAGACAAAACTGTTGTTCAGCTCTGGGCATTTGATACTGAAATAATGGTTTGTTTTCTCCCTCCAGTGTATAGACAGAGATCCACTTCCACAGCCAAAGGTTGACTCTCCCGAGGGTTACTATGAAGAAGCTCAGCCTTATGACACAGCAACCAACGGTATGTTACTGAACCCTTTTATTGAATAACTGGCCTTTTTCGTGTGGATTAATGTATAGTACAGGGAGAAAATTTTGCTAGAACTACTATTTTAGTTTACCTAGACAGCCATTTTAATTGTTGCTGAGCTGCTGGAGCAAATTGGAGCACTATTGTCATATAATAGGTGTTCATTTTATTTCCACAAGTAGGCTTCAACATAGAACAAAGTGTAGAACAAATGTGGTGTTTGTTGTGAGAAACCACAGGCAGTTGATCATATCAGCCAATCTGACCTTAGCCAGAGAAGTAAAATTGCAAAACAGGGTTTCACATAATACGGTTTGGTGGACAAAGTGAGGGACTAGCTATAACTTCTTAAACCTTGCTAAGCACCATGTCTTTAAAATGTAAGATGTTTCCAAATAGGTGTGAAAGGATCTATTCTATTAAATATTTTCTTTTTAATGGAGACTGAAATACATAAATTGTACAGTATTTATCAGGATTTGTGACGCCTGTCAGACAAACTGATAGGTTTTCAACGTTGCAGTGATTTTACATATGAATAGGTATTGAATATAAATTAAATATATATTGGATATGTTGGATAAAATTAAATACAGATTTTTACACTTCCAGTAATGCCCAGTAATGTAATTCTCCTCTATTTCATGGTTTAGACACTGACAACTCATGTTGAAGGTGGGCATCAATTAAACCCAAAGAAAATGATTATTCAGCCCAAAACTGGACAACCCAGACAGATGGATTGCTTGGTGGAATTCATCGTTAGTCTTTGCATTCTGCCCAAATAATGATTATGTCTAAAGAAAAAGTAGTGAGAGGCTTCTCCAGATGACCTCTGCAAACAAACACAACACAACAAAATTACAGTGCCATATTTAGATATTATGCCCACATACATTTTAATGATATACTTCATTTAAGCTAAAAGTAGTGCCCTCCCACATACCACCAGTGACTACTGAACATCTTTAACACACTTCATTTAGGCACCTTAGCTTTAGACTTTCTGTATGTTTTATTCTTTCTATATGCATAGAGGGTGGCTACAATAAAGGACTAAACTGAAATACCTTCTGTTGTTGCAGGGTGTTGGTACGTTGCCATAGCACATGCTATAGCAATGAGGAAATCTTGTTTTTTTAAGTTTAGAATTGCCAGTTTTTTGCTATTCCACCCAGTTTGGATTAACTAATTGTGTATAATTTCTCAGAGAACAGCTACGAACCTGCAACCTCACCAGTTTACATTAGGGGAAAATGTGGAAGTACAGTATATACAGAATAACCTGGCCAACCTGCCATTGGGCCATTTATTTTTAATGCACATAGTCTGTTCAGCCCTGTTCAGCACTGTTTGGCAGAGAGGTGCATTCTTCAGTGACAGCACTGCAAATCTCAAATATCCAGGGAGGCCCCAGGGGTCATTATGTCACCAGGAGCCAGGGAAACCCCAAACTAATCCCACCCTATCCCTGGCAGCTATCAGCCAATTGCATACCACAGCCTGGGAGAATCCCAGTCTCAGTCAGCTAGTGACATAACCAAAGTTCGAACCTTGCGATCATAGAGGCCAACCTATGTTCAGGCAAACACCTTTACTTGTTGAGCCACTCAGGTGTTGTGCTCGGCATTATTTTTTAAATGATGGAATGATGTGAATTAGCATTGTGTCTAGTATAGATATAAATAAGGGGTTCAATGAAAGACAAGCAGTTTCAGGAAATATAATCCACAGAAGAAACCTGAACCTTGAAGATATCAAAAGTGGGTAGCATTTACAAAAGGCCACATTTACTAAAGGGGAGGTTGTTCCAAAATGTTCTGTCAACAAAGGGACATTTTCAGTCCTTCTGAGTATGTACTGTATATCTGCTAGTTTATGTTCAACATATGATTATTTTCAAGTTTTGTCTTGCAAATTATTTGTCCCTGCATCTTGACTGTTACAAGTACAGATTTTGGCTTCTCCTGCAGGGAATGTCCCATGTTACGTTTTGAACTGAGATTACTTCATTGTAATAAAGGATGCCTGGTGCCACATTGAGATATGCCATTTTTGATAGTTCCGTGATGATTAACATAATGTGTAGTCAGCAGCCCAAGGTTGGAAAAAAGTCTTCACCTCGATAAAGCTCTCAGTTAGTTGAAAATTTGTGATTTGAGTTGTTGAATGTAACCTGACTAAATATACAGTCACTCCTCTTTTATTCCTGGAATACTTCACAGCAAAGCTCAGAGGCACTAGGAGGGGTAAAGCATACAGTACCATTTGAAGTCTTAGTGCTTATCAGTGTCATGCCTTGGCAGACTTTTCAATCCCTCTTCTTTTCTTCTTGTTTTATCTGTTACTTACAGTACGTCCACTGTCTTCTTACATCTTTCCTGTTCTCTGTCCCTGTAGATTTTGGTTGTTTTGGTAAACTTATCATCACAGGAGCCAGGACACATATAGAAGCTGCTGAGGGTGTAATTTATGCTACAATCACAAGGGGTATCTTTTTTTTTTAAATCTGCATCTTGAATTTCATACAAGATTCACCTAACTGTGTGGTAGGCAATACTTGACCTTAACATAAGTGACACTTTTTCCCACATACAACCCTTGAAGTCTTGCTAAAATAGCCAATTTGAGTTCAGTAAGTCCCATAAATATGTCATTTTTAGACTCTTGGTGTTTGATTTCTGCATACAGATGGACCATGCATGTGTTTGTTTCTGTTCAGGGTGCTTGATTAAATTACAGTATAAGGAACATTATGCATGTGGCATCATTCACCATTGCTTGAGAAATTTGAGGTTATCATTGCTTGAGACATATTGCATTTCTGTCTTTTTGCCAACAGCATGTGACCAATGTCTCAAAATGAGAACCCAGGTTGGGAGTTATCTTAAATACTGTTCTGTGTGTTGCAGAGGACTGTGATGCTGTCAGCAGCTCCTATGAATCATATGATGAAGAAGAGGTGACCAAAGGCAAGTCGGCGACCCATCAGTGGCCCTCTCCTGAGGCCTCCATTGAGTTGATGAAGGATGCCCGTATCTGTGCCTTCCTGTGGAGGAAGAAGTGGCTGGGCCAGTGGGCAAAACAGCTGTGCGTCATCAAGGAGCATCGGCTGATGGTGGGTGTTGGAAATTTGAAGCCGTCATACTCTACCCGGCCCTATGACGTTTAGACAGGGTTTTTTTTTTTTTCCGGAGGCCTAAACCATTTTGCAGCTCATGTCACATATCTCACACTCTTCCTTTTCCTGTTATATCATTTGCTGCTTTCCATCCCCACACCATCCCCTCTCTCTGCTGCTTGCCTCAGCTGAAGGCTTCTTCCACCTGTCCTCTTAAGGGGAGCAGTCATCCCTCAGTGCAGTGATTCTGAGCCAAAGAATGTCCGCCGGCAAATACAGACATGTCTAGCGTAAATCGCCGAAGACGTCAACTTATGAGGTATTGTCTGTACCTTCTTAAATCATGTTGACATAGTAATACCTGTTTAGTATCAGACGGATGCCTGAGAGCAGTTGCTCCCCACTGCATACAGACACATGCAATATTGCAGCCATAACAAATGCACTTCAGTTAAACTAGAAATGCTTGCTCAAGAAGGTTTGTTATGCTGGAAAGGTATGGCTTTTTCTCCAGTGATCATGTCTACCTTCAGTGTCGACTGTGTAAGGAATACTTATCTTTCTTTGAGATCCCATTCATTGTCGAAGGCTGTATTTAAATACACCAACATGAGTATAGAGGAATTTAGGTTAGTACTTTTAGGTCAATTTTGATTTTACTTAGTTACAGCAATCTAATATATAACACCTTCCACACACCGCCTTACAAACGCACATAAAGGGTGGTATTTTTCTGCTTTGTTTCTATAGTTCCCTCACCAGTGGTATTGCTATTAACTTTCTGCATTGTCATTTCTGTTTGGCCCTTTGTTATTCCTATGACCCGAAATATTAAATAATGGCGGGCATGTCTGGCTTATTTTGTGATAGCCTTTCTGTCCCATAAGTGATATTTTGGTGTCAGGACTGCTTAGTTTAATATGAAAAGGTCCTATGTAACTTTTGACATACTGTATACTTACTTGACTGCTACCCCTTAAACAGGAACTAAAAATGAACTTTGTTAGCTACAGTAATTGATAGTTTCCTGATGAATATGTGTTATGCATTTACTTAGAAGATAAATTATACGTGTTTGCAGTTTTGTATCATCACATGTGGAGCCCTGTACTCCAGGTGCTACTGGTCTGAGCAAGGATTATGTCATTAGCTGACTGAGACCGGGATTCCTCATCTGCATAAGTAGCTGAGCTCCGCCAGAGCTGCATGGTCTTGAGCTGCTTAGCTTATATTCAGCTTGTTGCACAATAATGATCCTCGGGACTTTCAGGGTGCCTGTGAGTTTGATCTAATTCTCCTGCAGGGAAGAAGTTTGCTGTGGGTCAGAAGATAAACAACACATTCTCCCCATGTTGCAGGACTGAAGTTCTGAACTGAGAGAGTGAAAAATAGAAAACCTTATTCCTTCTTACAGATGTAAAAAATAGGAAGGCTGGGGGGTTAGGGTTTGGAAAATTAAGGGTATTGCTCTCCATAGTCATTTAATTATGTTTTTCTTGCCCCAGTGTTACAAGAGCTCAAAGGACCAGAATCCTCAGTTAGATGTGAACCTGGTGGGTTGCAGCGTCATTTACAAAGAGAAGCAAGTGAAAAAGAAGGAGCATAAGTTAAAGATTATCCCTATGAGTGGAGAGGTGATTGTGCTGGGCCTGCAGAGCAAAGAGCAGACGGAGCAGTGGCTTAAGGTAAGATACTACAGTAGGTTATTATTGTCTGTGTTAGGTCTCATCACACATATTATTTGTTGCAAACAAAAGGAAGCCATTTGGCCTATCTTCAGCATTCACGGTATTTTATACTGTAGGTGCCTTGTAAGTTTCATGTTTTCCTTTTTTCATGCTGGTAATTCACATGCATATTGTTTTCCAACTTTTTTCCAGTGTGAGACATCCCTTTTCTACTTAATAATCAATTAAACCAAATCTTAATTGGAAATTTGATCATCTCTTGATGCACAGAGTCTACCAATGCAGGTATTAAGAGTAGCAGCACTGGATGCAAAGTGTTCCCTATTGCGAACAAAAGATTGGAGATGGTTCTGATTTTTCCTTCTTTCTTCTGACTTCCACGGAAGAGCTTGTCATGCTTGATGACACATGATTTGCGATATTTTGCCATATGGGAGATTAGCAGTTTTAAGTCTCACACCCCACCTTAATTTTGGTTTTATATTCTGTATAGTATTTCAGTATGTTGTAGCTTAATGAGTTACTTACAAAGTTACTCTTTGTAGGGACTCCAAATTATATTTTACTTGCATTGTTTCTGAAACTGTTGTCTGTATTATGTACTGTAGGTGCAGTGTGATATATGTAAATATTTTTAATACAACATTAAGAAACTGTTTTTCTTAGTGTGTGGCTGTGTTGTATTGAGTTTCATGAATGCATTGAACATAGTATGTGAGGAAGCTGGTTTTAGGAAGGAGGATAAACTTTTGGCAAGTTATACAGTACGCAAAAATTGCATTAGTGGGCATAAACTGTGCCAGCTTTTGCAAAACGAGAAGCTAATAATTAAACATTCTTGCCTTTAGTAGCAATATGTAGTAGTTTTCTTACCTCTTGCATGACACTGAGCTGCACATCAAACGTTTCAGTGCCTGAGATTGTTCCCAACCTGCTGTTTTGAACAGTGCTCCATTGCCAGGCATGTGTGGGAGCTAAAAACTGCTGTCAACAGCACCTCTTTGAAACATTTTTCACAAACACTCTCTTTTAGCAAAACTGGTTTGAACTCACACATTAATCATAATGATTTTATGTGAGGAACTTTGAAAAATGAAAGGCTCCTTGTGGCCTTTGTGCCATGTGGGAGAGGCTATGGGGACGTGGTATGAAATGTGAGGAAGGAGGATGGGAAAGGACTAGGGATGAGGAACTCCTTGTTAACTGTCAGAAGTACTTTGAACTGTGAATAAACAAAAGCCCCAATCCCCTGAGTCCTGTCTTCAGGAATAAGCTGTATGGCATAGGCGCCAAGTTTCCAAAAATGAATGGGAATGCTTTGTACAGCCTGCAAAAAATAAATCCCTGATCATTTTTTTCCTCTGTAAGTGTATTGCCTTGTTGGTTGTTTTGGGGTCATTTTAATGGATTTTCAGATGACAAAGTCATGGCTTTAAAGTAAATTTTGACTGTTGTTTTTTTTTTAATTTAAGCAAATTATCTTTCATTATGTCTAAATTGTGGCTGGAATGTATTACTATAATTCATCTACAGACATTTGTCAAGTTTCTTACTATTTTATATTTTTGCACCTTAACTAAGGGGTTCATAGCAGCAACCAATTTCTCAAACTTTGTGGGTATTCAATTTTTTTTGGGTGCTGCCCATTTTATTCACTTCTATCCATGCTTTAAAATACAAACACTGAACCATGTACTGTATTACCAACATCTGTCCTGAACAATTCAATGTTTGGCATAATGTGAGTGAAAACTGAAGTATAATGGAAAACAAGGCCAGCTTCCAGGTTGTAGAAGATAAAATGAAGGCTACATTTAAACATTTAATTCAAAATTCCTGCAGATCCATACTGTGTATAGAGGACCACATAAAAATGAAAATATTTAGAAACAAATAAGGTGTTGTTATTCATTTCCTTAGGAGACACACCTATATGGGATGTTTTACAACACATCATAAAAATGGTCTATTGTACTAATTATTATTAAAATCCCTGTACAGCCTTTTTGTTAATAGTATTTAAACAATTAATAACCTCAATCTCAGGAAAAAAAACTGCTTTTATAAAATATGCAGTAGCTATCATGGTGAGATAACTCCACTCCAGGGATCAGGAAGAAAATAGTATTACAAACACAGCTGCCATCTTAAATTATTTAATTTTATGCAGATATTTTACTGACTTACTGTAACGTAATTAAGAAATTGTTGCAAAACATGCAGATCAATCACACATCCCTACTGTATATTGCACCCTTTGCAACCATTGAATTTTTCATTCTGCACTGGAGCAAAATATCTTTGAAAACCTGGACTTTTTAGAGTTTAGACTTAAATTGTGTGATAATGTTTGTCTCAATCATTCCTACAGGTAATTCAGGAAATCAGCGCAAAACAAGCAGAGTTTGATGTTTCCCACAATATCTCTGATTCCCCTCGACTCATTTGCACTAAGGTATGAATCTGATTTTAGTCTGAAGTATAAACTTAACTTTCCTGTCACACAATGTTACAGAAAAAATGCCAAATGCAAAATGCCAGAGGAATGAATACTCCATTTCTTTGGCATTTTGCATATGACTTACCTGATCTAGATGGATCGATGTTTATTGTGGCTGACTGTGGAAGGAACAGGAACTTCCACAATGGACTAAGGAACAATGATGCCTTCTGACTGCAAAGGTGCCTGACACTGTGTTCCTTCTGCTGCCAGGTTGAGCTCAATGAAAGGCATTCGATTGCATCGGAGAGTGGAAGCAGCACTGACAGCCATGCTGAAACACCAGAAACTAAAGATGGTAAAAAGCATTAAAATGTTTATTGGAATACATATTGCTAAAGTTTCTTAACAAAAATAAAATTGGTATAAAGCTGCATTTATGGTGAAACAGCTGTTTTTGCTAAGAAATAATTATTGATTTTTAATCATCAAACACACAGACAAATTTGAAAAATCAAAAGGGGGAGCCCCCACCCCCCATACACACAAACAATCCGGCCTGCACTACACAGCCGAAGCACCACAAATCTAAGATTATTAAAGCTTTATAGAAACACCATGTGGTAAGTCTTTGACTATTTCAGCAGCTGCAATCCAAGCCTTTAATAATAATTCCTTACACTTATAAAGCGCTTTGAGTGCAGTGTCCAGAAAAGTGCTTTACAGGTAATGGGGACTCTCCTCCACCACCACCAAGTGCAGAACCTCTTGTGCGATGGCAGCCATAGTGCACCAGTTAACTCACCACACACCAGCTATCAGTGGGGAGGAGAACAGAGTGATGTAGCCAGTTTATAGATGGTGATTATTAGGAGGCCATGATTGGAAAAAGCCAATGTGAAATGTGGCCAATGCCGCGGTGACACTCCTACTTTTCTTGAGAAACACCCTTGGATTTATAATGACCACAGAGAGTCAGGACCTTTTTACATCTCCTCTGAAGGACGGCTTCTTTTTTAGTATACTGTAATGTCCCCGTCACTATACAGGGGGCCAGCAGCCATATCACCCTGCAACTCACAACCGGCAACCCACTGAAGCTAAGCAGGTGTGAGCCTGGTCAGTACCTGGATGGGAGACCTCCTGGGAAAAACTAAGGTTGCTGCTGGAAGAGGTGTTAGTGGGGCCAGCAGGGGGCGCACACCCTGCAGTCCATATGGGTCCTAATGCCCCAGTATAGTGACGGGGACACTATACTGTAAACAGTCGGATGAGATGTAAAACCAAGGTCCTGACTCTCTGTGGTCATTAAAAATCCCAATCCCAATCCCAAAAATGCAACCCCGGTGTCCTGGCCAAAATTTGAATTGGCCCTTACTAATTGTGGCCTCCTAACAATCCCCCTCTATGAATCGGCTACATTACTCTGCTCTCCTCCCCACTGATAGCTGATGTGTGGTGAGCGTTCTGGCGCACTATGGCTGCCGTCTTATCATCCAGGCGGATGCTGCACATTGGTGGTGGAGGGGAGTCCCCATTACTTGTAAATGGAGTGTGGAGTGTCCAGAAAAGCACTATATAAGTGTAAGCAATTATTATTATTATTATTAGGACCCCTACAGGCTGCAGGGTGAGCACCCCCCGTTGCAACCTTAGTTTTTCCCAGGAGGTCTCCCATCCAGGTACTGAACAGGCTTACACCTGCTTAGCTTCAGTGGGTTGCTATTTGTAGGGTGATATGGCTGCTGGCTTTATACTGAATTTGCTTATGTCTACATTAAAACATTGGTGGTAATTTCCTTATAGTATCTGCATGTGTTACAGTTATAACTGTTAAGTTCCTCTCATTCTCAGTCTATATATAAAATATGATAGAACCTGTGAGTGAAAAGTGATAAGGTGTAATTTATTGGGAGTTTTATTCTTATACATAGTTACCATATTTGGAAAACTTGCACTCCAATGATCTGCATCTGTCCTTGAATCTGTCCTGGTAGAAGCGTTCTGTCTGTTGTGTATGCCAAGTTATCTTGTTGGTTGGGCTTGTGATAATAGTCAATAAAACTGAGTATTTGCCATTCTTCAAGAGGTTTGAGAAGTTCATCTGTCTTCCTACAGGCCATTTTGTGTGAATAACTAGCATCAGGTGATTTTCTACCTTGTCATGGTATGGGCAATAAAATGGTCTGTAACATTGAAGATTTGCTAGTTATAATGAAGTCCCATAATGCAACAGATACAAAATAGCCAAAAAGCTTCTGCCAAAAAGAATCTTTTGAGCTGCTGCAATGAGGATGTTTTGGGACAGGGATATTTTATTAACAATTTATGTAATCCAGTAAATGATCATGGGTATCTGCTTATTTAATTTATGAATTGCCCTAACTCTTTTAAACTCTCTTGCATACAATTAGTTATACAGTATATATATACAATATATGGGTATATATACAGTATACAGTATTATGCTAAGGGGCACCCTCTGGTGGCAAGGAAGACACACACACTCTCTGGATCACGTTTGCACAAAAACCTGCAGTGAACAAAATTAGGAAACAGCAATTCCCTCGGCTTCTGTAGTGTGCAGTCAAGGGTAACCACACTACAACGATATAATGTTCAGTCGTACAGTCTTTTGCAAAGTTGCAGTTTGAAATTAATTTGCCTACTAGGCCTGGGCGTAAGATGAAGTTGAAGTCCATGTGCTGTATACTACTGTATGCTGAGAGCTGTTATGAAAGCCTTTAACAACCTGTACAGTATAAACATAAAAATAAGCATACACTCATCCAGCCATGCATACTGTACAAACTAAACTTGTGTGAATCTGATAATGTCAATTTTTTCTACAGGTTATGAAAGTTATCTTTCAATATGAGAGTCTTCCCAGGACAAGTTTTACAGGGTTTTTTCTGCTCTGTTGTACAGTATTTTTTGCATTCTGTTACACCCAGCTTAACATTCACACAGCTTTTCTTTTAATTTTAGTTGTTCTTTTTAAACATGGCATTACAGTATACATGTATACAATACATAACGTACAGTGTGTCTATATAAGTTGTACCTATACTTTTTTCTGTGACTCTTCTCACAGTTAAGAAAAAGTCTGGGGCAGGCCTGAAGCTGAGTAACCTCATGAACATTGGAAAAAAGAAACCTCCTTTACTGGATAGTCCAGAGAAAGCTGTTGACACCTCTGGTAAAAAATAATTTTGTATTCGAAGAAGATGAATAGCTTCGTAGGTGGGTTAGAGGATCGTGTCTGCCTTTTCCCATCATTCTCACAGAATACAAGAGCTGTTGGTATGAGCTGTGATATAAAGTAAGCATTAGCGTTCCACCTGTGAGTATAAAAAGGGAAATTGGGGAAAAAAAAGAAATTCAAAACTAGATCCAGCTTGTTTTCTATTAGGATGTTGTGTTTCAGGGTATTTGGTGAAGTGAGAAGATCTAGTGAGCCGTTGCTGACGTTGCTGTGTTGTGTCCATCAGGATATCTCAATGTGCTAGTGAACAGTCAGTGGCGGTCCCGCTGGTGCCAGATTAAAAATGGGCAGCTGTGGTTCTACCAGGACAAGAGTAAGAACAAGGTAGCACACCAGCCTGTGACCCTGGAAGGCTGCATGGTTGTCCCTGACCCCTGCCCAGAGCACCTGTACTCCTTCAGGATCCAGCAGGAAGGGGAGCAGTTAGCCACGCTAGAGGTGAGTTTGTACACAAATAAAACAGCTCAGTGTATTGACACACCAGTGCAGGGCTGTGCCTCTTATTCATGTGTTTTATCACCAGAAATCAGAGAGAATGCTTTATGTTACCGCTGAACTTTTTTCCCTGCAGCAGTAATTTCACTTGTAAAACAGTACTGTATGTGTTAAGCTTACCAGTTTTTGTCAAGCCTTGTGTTATTCAAGGACTGAATACATTAAATTCTCAATTATAAATGCACATAAAATAATATTTTTGCCAAAGATTTTTTATATGTCTTAGGGACATTATAAACAACCTACAGTTGTGCAGGTATATAGTATATATGGTCAGGTAAATGCTTGTACAGTGGCTTTATGATATTATTACTGCAATAAGACAGCTCTTATTATCAGAACTAAGGTTGAAATTAGTTTGAAATTGAAATAATTGCATTATTTTTGTCCTTGTTGACAGTTACAGGAAGCTTCTTTTCAGCGGCCAAATAGTAGCTTCTACTTCTTAACATTTAATGTCTGGGCAATTTGTTTTCTGTTGTCAAATAATGTCTGTCCCCATGGGCCTTATTGTAGGTCATTCTGGTATGTATTTAATCTGAATTAATTCTGGAGTCTAGATTGCCCTTGAATTTTTCCTCTGCTGGCATTTTCTGTTTTTTTGCCGAAAGCTCTTGTGTATTACAAGACAGTCCTCTCAAAATAAAGGACAGCTGAGGTTACAGTAGTTTGATAATTAAGAAGCAAGATTATTGATTAGCCACTTGACCTCCTGGGTCACTCACAGGTTAAATGAAGATGGAATCATTTAGTCACGTTTGTCGTGGGACTTAAATTTTGTTTATGGACCAGAGACGAAAAGGGCCTTAATAATATAAAACTGACTATATAATTTATAGTTGTCTTTTAGTCCTTATTAAGTACAGGATTTTTTGTTTGCTATAGAGAAACATCTTATCAAAACTTCAGAATAAAGCAAGCTTGTGTTTTATTAAATTTATCAGCAAAAAAGGTGAATGCTATAAATGTCCTTGGTATTAGTGCCACAGTGTATGATAGATATATGACTTTGATTAAGTCTTAGGCTTCACAGAATGGATGAATGCTGTAAAGGGATGCCTGTAATAATGTTAGTGATGTTTAGGTAATAGCCAGGCTTATAAAGAAATCATGGGCGGCACAGTGATTAGCATTGCTGTCTCACGGCGCTGGGGCCCTGGGTTCAATTCCTGGGGTGCTATCTGTGTGGAGTTTATATGTTCTCCCCACGTTCACTTGGGTTTCCTCCAGGTGCTCTGATTTCCTCCCACAGTCCAAAAATATACTGAAAAATTAATGGACTTCAGGGAAAAGTGGCCCTAGTTATACGTGTGTGTGTCTGTGCCTAGGGTGTACAGTACCCTGCCTTGCACCCATTGCTTGCTGGGATAGGTTCTAGCTCCCCTGCAATCATGAATTGTGAGAAGTGGTTAGAAGATGGATGGATAAAGGAATCATATTAAGCTATAACTAATGGCTTCAAAATCCAGGCTTTCTTTATATTACTTTTGTACTTATTAATTAATACCCCACCAGCCTACTACTGTATACATCAGGCCGTTTCTCAAAAGCTGCAATCTACCTGACATTTAGAAAAAACACTGGAATGCCTGGGCTAGGCCATTGAAAACCTGTACACTTCTCATTTCTCTCGGCTCATTTCACAATGCTGGTTCCAATACAGAAGTACACTCATTGTGATTTTGTGAATTAGAAATTCTACTGTGCATTTGCAGATATGATGAATTCTGGTGTTGCTTGTGCTTGATTAAACTTTGGCCCCTAACATGTTAATACCTGCAGCATTCTTTTCTACAGAAATCTACAGACATAATGTTCATTGCGTTGTATCATTTTTATTTAGAATCATTCAAACGACATTTGGTACTGCATCATCATGTCATTATAACAAGTGTTACATCTTATTTCTGTCTGTTTGGCATTCTTACAGACACGTCTTTCAGTTAAACCTTCTCAGCCTCTCTAGTGTTAGAGAGGAAAAATGGCATCTGGCCTCAGCTAAATTGTGCAATCTCATTAGCCTTAAGTATGCAATTTAGAATGAAAAATAGATAGGCATCCTGCAAACTGAGTTGAAATTGCACAAGCAAGCATCTTTAAGGTCTGTTAGATGTTAGAGCATCCTAATTAATATGCCTAAATGGCTGGCATGATACCAGGAAGGAAACAAATACTTAGGGGGCAATGAGTGATATCCTCAGTTAATTAAAAATGCTACTGCTGCCATCCAGTGATAGACCTTTGCCATTACAAAAACCCTTGTAAAACAGTGCTATTATTTGATATCGCTGTACAGTATTTATGTTCTTATGTTTACATGGGCCATTTCTGCAGTTCGTCTTTTACTGTTTTTCTTTTTGTTTGTTAATCTGTCTTTTAGTGCAAGGGAAATTTAGAAAAAAATACACATTAGTAGATAATAATAGATCTTCCATTTTGCCATATGTATTTTTTTTTTACTTAGAATTTACAACTTTATGTCAAAAGATGTGAGAACTGTTCAGCGTAACCATTCACAGAGGGAAAAAAAAGATATTTCTACTTCTAGTTTAATTCACTGGGTTACTGTAAAATACCTTTTGTTTTCTTCTTTATCAAGGATTTCACTAGTGTATTGGAATATCCGCAAACCAATTTCTATTGAAGTCTGCAAGATAAATCTCCATTTGAGGTTGTGCAGTGGCTCAGTGTTGAACATTGCTGTCTTGCAGTCCTGTGGGCCCCATGTTCAATTCATGGGGAGCTATCTGTGTGTAGCTATTGTGTTTTCCCCGTATTCACATAGGTTTCCTCTGGGTGCTTCAGTTTCAGGGAAAATTGGCCCTGAGTGTGTGTGTGTGTTTGCTTTCCCCATGACCCTGTAGTGGATAAGGTGGTTAGAAAATTGATGGATGGATGAATTCTCATTTCTAACTTCAGATAATTTCTGAAGTGTTTTTTCATGAAACATACAATGGAAAATAGAATAACATTAAACAAAATTAAAATAGAAATAACTTCAGCAGCATTCTCATGTCTGTGGTTTATATGATAGCTTGACTTTTTGAAAGTCTTACAAACATTTCTCATAGTAATTAAGTAATTACACAGTTCTTAAATAACTGAGCACCCTTTCTTTTCTGTAGGCAAAGTCTTCAGCAGAGATGGGACACTGGCTTGGCCTGCTGTTGTCACAGTCTGGGTCCAAAACGGATCCAGAGGAGCTCACTTATGATTATGTCGACTCTGAGAGGATATCCTGCATTGTTAATGCAGCAAAGACTTCTATGTAGTAAGTCTGCTCTTCGGCTGACATTGCTCATTTGGAATTCTAGCAAAGGGAAAAATGAAGTGTCTTTGCAGAGGTTAATTTCTTCAGCAGAACCCAAACCGACTTTCAGCTAATTCCAGACAGCAGAGAAAATTAGTAAAAATAGTCACAACATTTCATATAACATCTCTTTATTATGGTATGGATAAATAATAGAAAATGTTGAGGCTCTGAAGTAATAAGAGGTAGAGTGAATTTCTATATTGCATCCACCTGTGGAGATTTTATAAAAGATAGTTAAAGATAACTTTCTTTAAAAAAAAGATAGTTATGCCAATGATGTAGTTTCAGTACACTGCACTACACTTAGACACTTTATTGATGAATACACCTTAGGCAGTACAGTATGTGATTAAGCCCCCTTAACCTGTTTGGTGTCTTTTCAGTCTCATGCAGAGAAGATACTCTGAACCCAATGCTTACACAGACAATCTACCTGCCATTCCTAATGAACCAGATGACATTTATGATGATGTGGCTGTACCAGAACAGGAGGTAATTTGCTTTCCATTTCCAATGCTAATATTTTTTTAGCTGAACTTGTTATATACTCAACACCTAGGAAACATCTTGAACTTACCATACTCTGCAGTTATATAAATCTATAAGGTAACTTTATTTGGTCTAGGAAATATTTCCAGTTTTTTCTGACACATCATCATTTCGGCTGTGGAGCCTTGTTTGGGTGTGTGTTCCACAGCTAAAACAGTGTCTTTCTTGCTTGTGTGCAATTAATTGTAAGAAAATACATCTGCCATATGAATCATTTTTATACATCAGAGGATACAAGAGGACACTTGTGGAAGTGCAATTATAACCGAGAACAGAAAGGCACATCTTTACCTAAATTCTGGTGGTTGGAGCCCATTCATTCGCTTCCTTCAAGAAATAGCTGGTTGAGATCCTTGTATCAATCAAGTTACTAACTACCTAATGGACCAGATTGACCAAATGTTTTCCTTTCTTGTGTCATCTCTTTCTGTTGTCATCTTTGACAGTATGGCAGAGCACTGTTAAAATCTATAGATTTTGATTTCTGCTGCAGCACTTTATATTGAATAAACACAGAAGTCTGTAGACTTTTATGTTCATGTGCTGATTAAAGCCTTGTTTGCTTGGATTTTCTTTATGGCATTCGCTGTCTGCCAGGAGCCCATCAGTGAAGTCACGAGTGCTGAGCAGGATGCTGACAGAGTCTACCTGGACCTCATACCTGTGAAGTCTTTCCTCCACACCGCCTGTGGCAGAGCCTCACCTCTGGGCTCTCCAGTAATGGCCAGAGAGCCTAGTCTCCCAGAGAGGCCACCAGAGAAGCCCCAGGAACCCAAGAACACAGAGGATGTAGACAGTAAGCCTGAAGAAAAGACAAGCATGGTGAGTTTTTAAGACCATGGTAATACCTATGCCAAAGCTTTCTAAAGTAACAGATAATAAAAACCTGGAGTTTTCTGCATTTTAGATCTGTATGATTAGTGTGATTATCATTTTTAAATAGGTGATCACTGATATGAAGCCTGAAAAAATAACCAACGTTGATAATAAAGTCTGCATGAACAGATAGACTGAGGAATAGAATACTCCTAATTTCGCTTGTAATCAGCACTTGTACCCAAAGCAGGTTGGGGAGACAAGGTAAAAAAATCACCTACTATACATCACGTTCTCCTGGAGCAGAATTAATTACAGTATAATCTTAGTGTTAAGCTCTATCTTTACAAAAGAACATACAGAGGTTTGTAAACTTGCTCAGAGAAACTCACACTGATAAGCGAGTATTAAGAGTTGATACATGAAACTGGAAAGACAGGATATTGTCTTTTCCTCATGGGTTCCACTGGACCATGTAAGCGAAGCTGCTAATTGTGCATTGACACCAGCCAAGATAAGGATAAAAATAAAATAAGCTGGTATTTGTCTGAGACAATGATAAGGTTATATGTTGTTACTGAAAAGTGTTATAAAATGTCATATAACATGATGGCCTAAATCAGCATTGGTTCTTAATAAATTGAAAGGCTTTAATGTCTTATCTGTATTCCCTTTTCTGTTTGTTCACTTGTTTCTCTGCTCTGCTCCATTTTACATAATTACTGTACACATCTTGTTTTCTCTGGGTATTCTTCTTGTTATTCTACAGGCAGGTTTGTTTACTTCTGGGTTTTGTGCCTCTAGCATTCTATTTCCCAAGCATAACCAACCCTTTTTCGATTGGATTCTCATCCTATTCATATCTTATCAGATTCTGTTTTCTTTTACGTATAAACAGGATTTGCAAGCTAGGAATGATCCTGAAACATCGCAGAGCAGGAACACCATTAAAACCAGTGCTGCTGTCCTGGGTGTGGAGAATGAAAGGTCTTCTCCAATAGCCACCATAAAAATACAATCACAGCACCAGAAAATCACCTTTCCAAGTAATGAACCCCAGAGGACTCCTGTGCCTAGCCCTCAGCCTGTGAAAATGACCATGGAGACTTCAGAAAAACCCAGGCTCACAGTAGCAGGTATGTGTGACAAGGGGTTGTAAAATTATACTTTATATTGGACAATAAACCAACTTTTAGTAGAGTAAAATAGAACAGGCTACGAGATCACACAGACCCAGTCAATTAATATATCACTGTATCAATACTTTATTAATGGATCATATTTGACAAACATTTATGAATGACACTTGCAACCTCTTATCTCAGGTCTCACTGTTAGCACTTATTGTTTTTCTTTTGCTTGAGAGTTAAAAGAATAACAGACATTAGTGAGGCTTTTTAACTGGATCTCTCAGAAAGGCCATTTAATTTACAAAGCCTGGCAAAGGAGAAATGTGTATCATTGCCTGTCTAAAAATACTTGTAATTTGTGGATGATATTGTGGTTAGAGGCAATTACACACTGGGGAGCTTTCTGTGTGAAGTTGGCATGTTCTCACTGTATTCACATGAACTTTCTCCAGGTGCACCAGTTTCCTTACACCATTCTGTTCTGGCCAGGTTAATTGATCTGTCTACGTTGTCCCTATGCACTTGCATATGCAAACCCTGATTTGAATTATGAATATACTTTTACTTGGTATTAATTACTTGATTACTTTTTAAGTTTAAAGCTGTATATTAACTATGTTGTCTGTCCTCATTGGATTTATCGAGGCTTGTGCTCTAGTGCTCACCACGGAAAGGTACTAATGATAACGCATACACATACACATATTTCAATTGAACCAACAGGTTCCATCGAGAACAAGCTGGGAAAAAACCGCACTGAAGCCGAGGTCCGCCGCTTCACAGATGAGAGAGACAGGCTAGAGAGGGACAAAGAACAGATCCGCAGAAAACTGGCACAGCTGCGCATGCAAAAACGGGAGCTGAAGGACGCCATGTCAGCCTCTGCAGGTACCTCCTCTTCCGAGGCGCAGGCTTGAGCTTCTCAGGAGGAACTGGAAGGTCCTTCTTGTCCCTTATATAAGACTGTCTCCATTGCTGTATATGATGCAGTGTGACTGGTGCGTTATCGTACTGTGGAGCAACAGCTTCTTCTGCCCTGTTAGTGTAGCTTTTGCAGTGACGGAAAGGATCACCTTATGATAAGTAACTGCCAAGCCACCGTGCTGCCTCACAGCTCTTCAATCCTTGGTCTGACTCCAGTGAGGAGCTGCTTTTGTGAAAAGTGTGCACATTCTTCCTATGTTTGAGTGAGATGGCATTGTTCCAGTTTCCTCTGACCTTCCAAAGACATACTGGCTGGCATAAAGTAATTGGTGTCTCTAAATTGTCCCCGTGTCTTTCTGTGCATCTGTCTGTGTGTGCTCACTCTCTGTTATAGGTTGGCATCCCGAACAACATGTCTTTCCTTGCGCCTTGTGCTTTGGGACATGCATAATTTCTCTTCACCGGGAATAAGGGGCATTCTGATAATTCTGTATGTCATGTTTTACTGGTCTTTTGTATCCCCTGAATTATTTGAAACTACAGTATTTACTAGTGAAAAACAAACTCCATTGAGTGGCACTTGAGTTGTTTTTTATGTCTTAAGACTGTAAGATGTTTTTAATCCCTTTGACTCACTGGACAGATTGTATTCAGATAATATTACAGGGATAATAACTGTGGTTTCCTTGTTCTTGAAAGTAGAGTTTGAAAAAATAAATCTGGAAACATTCTAACAATGGATTAGAATTCAACCATTGTTTTTCTTTATTTCTCTTTCCAATTTGGAATCTCCAATCTTTAAACAACACACCCTTATGACTACAGCCCTTGTTCCAGGGATGATAAGAACCATGCGCACTTGTCTCCAAAATAGTTTGCTGTCCACATAGTTAATAGTTTCATGTTAATCAAGGATAAAAAAATGTTATTTATTAGTAACTGGGATGATATTATTGACTGTGCTGCCTCTTATCATTTGGAGAAAAAAGCAGACCAGAATGTTTTCAGTGGGGCAGTGGCCCAGCAGTGATGTGTGTTCCTGTTTGTGGTAAAGAACCTGCAGACTTGGCGATGCTGGAGAAGAGGCTTAAGGAGTTGGAGGAAGAGTGCAAGCAGGAAGAGAGGAGACGGGTTGACCTGGAGCTCAGTCTGGTGGATGTGAAAGAGAACCTGAAGAAAGCAGAGTCAGGGCCATTCATTCTCGGCACCGCAGTGGACAGCGTCCTCTTAGACACGGTGGGCTCCAGTGTCACAGTGGTGTGCAATGCACAGAAGTATTTGTTCCATTCTTTCTTCTTCCATTCCTTCTTCCATTCACTTTGCTTTTTTTGAAGTGGTTCAAAGTTATTGAATCACTTTAGGTTTAAAAGGTATTAGTTGCATTAGTGCTCAGTACTTTTTACATTACGTTTAATGTGTGCATGCACAGTACTGTGAAATCAACCCAGTACTAGTCATACTGTATACAGTGTATTGATACACGGTAACTAAATACACACAACCCTAAGCTTTACAATCTACAGTATAGCTAATTGGGCATATACAATAAACAATATTTACATTTCACATTATGAGCAAATTGGTTTACTTATTGTTTGAGTCGTACCGCTCCTTTGGATAACAAAGTACTGAGCTTGAGTCATATTATTTCCTAAACATACTGTAAAACATGCTTAGTGTTTGATTGAAAATATCCAAAATGAGTTTATTACAAATGCTGTTTCAATTTAAAAAAACTAAACACATGAACAGCAAAAGATGCAATCCCGTACTAAGGAAATTACCTGGTTGCTAAAGCATGACTGAAGAAGTCCTATGAGTGATAGATGTTGTCTCTGGAGTGTGATATTCTGCAGCTAGTCCATAAAAACCAGGATACCGTGTTTCGGAGAAAGACCGAATCCTGTCAGGCAGACGGTAACCACGCCTGTTCTGTTCTATTCATCTGATACATCTGCATAATTGTTTTCACACTGTAGTGACCTCAACACGAATAGTCCCTGGAAGAAATAAGCAATCCACCAGCAGGGTGGCATTAGTAGAGAGAGTGGTGGTTGTTCACCAATGGATGCCTTTTTGTTTTTGACAGACATGGCTGAAAACAATGTTCATGGGGACATACAGTATGATGTACGTTATGTTGATGCATGCATTGTTCAAGCCAGTTGGTCAGTGGGAATATGATGATGTTTGAAGGAATCTCTTTCCGCATAAGTTCACCTCTGCAGATTGACAAGTTAATGCTTAAGCCAATATTTTTTCCATTCCTTAAGGCAAAGCAGGTTCATTTTCATTGACGAAAATTCAAGACCACACACAGCTAGGGTTACAATGGCAAAACTCTGAGAAATCATTGCTGAGATCTGTATGCATCCAGCTTTTTCTCCTGACTTGAGTCCAATAGAGCATCAGTGGGACCAGCTTGCTCAGGCCATTATCAGGAGGCAGCAGTGTTTAATGTTTTTTTTATGGCAGCATTTCACATTTCATTTTGAAAATGTTTCATTTTTCTTTAATCTGCATGTCTTCTCACATTTTCAGTGCTTTAATGTTCTGTGTTTATTATACCTGAATAGTACATTTCCTCAATTTATAATTATTTTTTATTATAATTCATTTTTCTGATGCCTTTGTGCAAAATGTCTTAATATTGTTTATAATGAAAACTACAATACATAATAAACAAATGTATTACTGTAGCAGACAGTAGATTTGAGGCAGTTGATTACTGTACTGTATATAGCTCTAAAGATGCTATGTTTACAGTATATTAAACAATAAAATAAAATAATTTATTAATTTTGCTAGTATGCACTGTATATGTTATTTTTATGGTCATGTACTGTACATAAAATGTTTCTCTAATTTGTTAGATCATAGATTATACATACTGTACATTGAAGCTAACATTTATTCTGTTCAAATACACAGCGAGTTAACAGCTGATTTCCTTGTCTTAGGCAAAACCCATTGTATGCACATCAGCACCTGCAGCACCATGCAATGGAGAAACCTCACCGGTGAACTCCGCCACAGCTTTAAAGAACAGACCCTTATCAATCATGGTGCCAAGCAAAGGGAACGTCTTACAGAAAGCAAAGGTAAGGCTCTCAGACTTAATGTGCAAAAACATCTCTGCTGCCTCAAAGCCTATTAAGCTAATTTACTGTAACATAGATTTGATTTTTCCTTTAATAAATCAGTGTGCATCATAGTATCACTGTACAGTACTTCTTAACACAGCCTTAATTAATTAGTAGAACTGCAAGATGTACTGTATCTCAGATGGTTACCACCTGTTTGTTGCTCTCTCTCTGCTCATGTCTACCTAGAACTGTAAAATCAGACAATTCCTGTTCAGGAAACTAGGGGGAATTGTTCTTACCAGTGTAAAATTACGGTGGTAGTTTCGGTAAAAAAATCCTGATTATATAATGTCACAATATTTAACATGGAATACCATGATTGTTATGCTGTAGAATTATCTTTTTATTGTTTACTATGGTATAGTTATGGTTATCACCAAGACAGTGTGCCTTTTCAAATAATGTTATAGTTTTTGCAGAATTAAAGTATAGCTAAAAGTATACTTAAACATTTTATTATGGTTTATCACATAACTATCATACTAATTATTACTTGGGTATGTACTGTATATTGCAGCTTGTGTACTGGATTGAAAGACATCTGATCACCTCTGTGTTTTTTAAACTTACAATGCAGTTTGAGTACTTGTCTTTTACCACAAGATAATTTATATCGCTTTGCATCCAATGGGTTTAGTTTTTTCATTACAGACTAGAACGATGTGTTGAACAAATATTTCTTCATGAATGTTTCCATAAATCAGGTGATTTCCAGAAATTCAGGTGAGGTTTGTTCGGCCCCAATGGCAAGATTATTTACATGTTCCACTTTTTCTGTCACAGGAATGGGAAAAGAAAGCCACCAGCTAGAACCGAGTATCTGCTTGGAATGAACTTTGTTTTTGACTGGAATAGTCACCTTGTAATCAGCGCTCCCAGAGACTTCAGCTAAGGAAGCCAGCGCTTAATTTGCCTTCAGCCCAAGCTTGTGTCTCCACAGACAATTATGGGATCCAACGTCCACATTGTAAAAAGAGGGAGACTGGATCATCTCTTTTGCCACTGAACAGTACTGCCAGCCACTCTTTAGCATGATGTCAGCGTTAATCTAACACACTTGTTTTTGTGGACAAGAATACTACTGTATATATGTTTACTGCAGAGATGAGAGATTGTTTACTGCAGAGATTTAAACCTGAAAAAAGGGAATAAAAAATAGTAAACTGTTACAAAATGAAATGTTTTAATAAACACAATGCACATTACAGGTTACAAGATGCCAGTTGCATCTAGGAAAAGCGCATTAATTCCACAGTATTCAAATGGAGACCCAGTGGGCTTTAGTCTATGTACAGTACATATTAAATGACCAAAGGCTTGCTTGTACTTAATTCTGCTGAGAAAGGCAGCCTTTTCCTTTAAAGGTGTCAAAGTACTCAACCTATATTATTTACCCCAAACTAGGGAGATGATCATTGTTTTTTTATCTTTTTTTCTGCTAATGGAAATGCCTAATATGCATTACAGTTTTCTTAATGGCTCAAAATATCACCATAGCAAATCCTCTCCAAGACAGTCCAGGCTTTATTCCTGGTATTTGTAAATAAGAAGAGTCCTTTGGTACAGTATCTGTAAGCACAAGATCAGTCATTTAAAATTAACAGTAAAATGAGATGTACAGTAAGCAGAGACGAATGTGAGACAGACAGCAGATAAAACGGGGGGTACTAGTTATTACTTATGGAAATGAAGAACTATGTTTATTTTAACTGTGTTGTCATTGATAGTTTCTTTCCACGGGTCTTCCACATACAAAAAATGATTTATAGTTATTTTTCATTTGAAAAAAGGAATGTAAAAATATTTTTAAGGATGACTAAGTCATGCCTTTTTGTCAGGTCATAAAAGGTAAGATTTTTTCCAGTATTTTTGCACATGCCCAAGTAGTGTATACTCTTGGAGGGCAAGTAGTGTATACTCTTGGAGGGCAAGCCAGCGATGGAGGGCAAGCCAGCGATGTCAGGGTACATATTCAGTGACTTGTGGGTGCAGTTTTCTTTGTGGGCAAACCAGATGAACATTTCCCCTCCTAATCAATTTGTTATGGAGTAAATGATTTGCCTGCAGGGAAATTAATCACCAAAATCTAAAACATATTTATAAAAATGTTGTCACAAGAGAGCAAAGGGACATAATTTGAGTAGAAGACAATCTGCCCTCTTCTGCTGTAGTGAAGTGTCTTCTCCATGTCATTTTTTTGCCACTGATAGTTATGTTTTGGTTTTTCTCTAAACGGACCGCTATTTGCTAGTAAAAAACAATCCTACTGGAACTGTGAGTGACATTGTATATTTCTATGTTTGTCTGTAACAGGGTTATATATACATCTAAGCATATCTATAGTGCAAACAGTTTCTTTGGCTTCCTCATGTATGCCTCTTCCGGTAGTCCAGGATTACTTAAATAAAGAAGATTATCAGATCTCCTTTCTTTATACTGTAGTAGATCTATTCATGGGGTATACATACCGTAATAGCATTAATAGGATGAAATTACAAGATTATCATTTTTCTTGTTTTTCTGATTTTTTGCATTTTCGCAATCCCTATTGCATGTGACACTGAGTGAAACATGATATTGGGCTGCTAATTAGAGTAGCCATATTTAGCTAAAAGGCTGGTACTGTACTATACTGTATATACACTTGTGTGCGACATCCTTTTCAGGAGACATATTTTTTACAAGATTCAAACTCTATTCAAAATACTTATACAGCCCTTGTTACCTATATAATGTATAATGCCGAAAATTGTACTGGTTTTCTGGTATCCAGTTACAATGCTAAACTATGCACTAGTACTGTTCTAGACATCTTCATTTTTCTTAAAAGATATTATCCTGTCACCAAGTACTTTAGAATAATAACTCTTTTTCTCCATTATCTATTTCAGTTTATGACTTCCAAAACTGTGTCTCTGAACTTACATTTATAAAAAACGTTTAATTGATGCCTCAAAAAGAAAATACTGTGTGAAATACTTGATCTTTCATTTTTTAAATTCTATTGCTGGGTGTCACTGCTCAAGACTGTAAACGCTGATTATTCTTCTGTATCTTGAATGGGAGACACCTGTAAGGCAATGGTTATTAAATTACTACTGAAGGACAGTTTGTCAAGTATGGGTAACTCCCTGCAATATTAAAACAAAAAAGGTATGTACAGTAGTAATGTTCCATTGATGAAAGGTAATACAGTAAGTATCTAGCCAAGATTTATGCAAGGGCCTATTCATTTAGTAAGTGCTAAGATATACTGTACAGTACAGTGGATATAAAAAGTCTACACACCCTTATTGAAGTTGCACATTTTTGTGATGTACTGTAAAGCCAGAAATCAAGATAAATCATGTCAGACATTTTCCCATCTTTAATTGCAACCAACAAAATTCAAGAGATAAACAAATAGATAATTATTAGGAAAAATAATTGAAATGAAAAAACCTATAGACAAGTAGATACAGAGACCTACAGATAAGTTTGCTTATTCATTTCAGGCTAATATTTGCATTCTGTGAGTACATTTTCACCTAAATGAGTGAAGGATTGTGCAAAGTCAGTGAACAAAATCTTAACCCTAACCCTAACCTAAGCCATATCAAAAGCTAGGTTAAGGGTTAGGAACCCCACTAAACGTAGATAATTATTGATGTCATGGCTGTGTTTTAGGACAGAAAAGGAATTTAGGAAATGTGCTATGTTAGTGTTATCTTTCTTACCAAAGATTCAAAGAAAGCAATTATATGTTTCAAACTCTTGCATTTGGCATTGATATATAAAAAAAATAATGCCAATATTTATGGGGTATTCCTGACACTTTCTCTTTTCAGTCATACTACCTGACATACCAACAACCAACTATCGACTTAGGCTGAGGATCCAGCTTAAATAGCTTGTAAGCCCCTCTCCCTCTGGAACAAACCATTTCTCCAATTCAATGCATGTGGTTATTCCCATCTCCTTAAATAAGCCTTGAGAACTGGGGTTAGGTTTGGCCTATTGAGGCCACCATTGGCTGACCCACCCCTTCTGTGTAAAGAAAATCAGTAAAGTATAGGAATTGTACTGCTGTAAGCAGTATTGTGTATATACTGTAGTTGACCTGAATGAAAACAGGACATAAAGAAAGGGTTTCAGAAAGCTTTATTCCCGTGCTTACAGTCTGGGTAATTGGAGGCTGCGCTGTTATGCTTCCTGTGGTGATATACGGGTTTTTCGCATAAATCCGTATTGAGCAGTATTTCTCGCGTTGTGAACGTGTGTACACAGCAGTCCCCCTGGGTTCCAGTTAATGCATAATTATGCATCTATAAAAAAATGGAGGTTTAAAAAAGAGAATTAGCTCACTGATAGTTTTATATGGAGGCTGTGAACATTTTCACAAGTCGTGGTCTTTCAAATGCATTTGGTTTGAAGGCTCTCTGCATTTCCCTTGCGAAGATATGAACAAAAGAATATTCGAATGTGGCAAAATGTGTTTTCGTAACTGAGGTTTCGTGAAAAAGCTACAGGCGTGCCAAAATCATTTTCAAACTTCAAGCTAACTTCACCCCAGTGTGGGCACCGCATTGTTATCTCAATCACCTGCTAATTCGTTTTATACCACGGGAAGACAGGAGAATGTGATTGTACTGTATCTGTACGGAATGTGTGCTGCGTTTTAAAAAATAAAGTGTTTAAAATGTATAATTAAAAATTAAAAAAAACTTGCAGCTTACTCAAAGATTCTAAGATGATCAGAGGAAAGGTATTGCATGTCTAATGGTCTAACAAAAACTACAGTATGCTCAAACCGGTTTTTATTTTTTGGCACAGCCAGCCGGCCCAAACCACACAGACACCAGCTAGCCTGCTAGAGAGCCACAATTCACACTCAACCACATCACAGATCACAGATCAGTCCCAGTGTATGAGATATTGCTGTTTGATCTTTGATCTGAGCTTTAATAGACAACAAATCTCTATTAATATAACTACCGAGTGGTATTAAATGCAACTTTTTTTGTATAAATGACACTATTCTAAAATGTACAGTTTAAAAAAAATAAAAACAATTACAATCTAATCTTTCCACGTTTGATCCCATGATGAAGTACTAACGCTCCTGCTTTGTTTAACGATGGTATGAAAAATTAATCTAGTGAGAAACTTATGCTTAAAGTGAGTTAAGGGTATTAGAATACAAAGATAACGATTTACATTGCATTGTAAGGCATTTAATTAAACACGCGTTTGCGATTTTAAACAAAATGGGGAAAATGGGGTTAGACCATGCATTACACTTCCTCGTGATCATCTTAGAATTGTTGAGTAAGCTAAACGTTTTTTTTTATACATAGCATTCAGAAATAATATTGAGAATAGTTCTGTGGCATATGCATATATTAAACTTTTCTAAAACTTATAACAAAATTAAAGACGATTAAAATCTGTAATCTTTCCATGTGTAATGTCATTAGAAAGTACAATAGGTTCCTGCTTTGTCTAATGATGGTATCAAAAAAGAAACCTGTGCTTAATGATAATTAAGGGATTTAGAAGTCAAAGAAAATTATTTACGTGTTTAATTTTAAACACAAAGTGATGAACACAGATGCAATTGGTGCTTTACAGCCATTGTGCAATACTGAGCTCCATGCTTCCACCCTCTCGGTGCCGCCTCCCCCCTGACAAAGCGCAGTGGGCGGCATACTGTTTTCAGAGCCTCTGATTGTGGAAAAAAAACCTTCTGATCTGTTCTACATACCAGGAAGACAACAGAATATAATAATTAATAATTGCTTACACTTATATAGCGCTTTTCTGGACACTCCACTCAAAGCACTTTACAGCTAATGGGGACTCCCCTCCACCACCACCAATGTGCAGCATCCACCTGGATGATGCGACGGCAGCCATAGTGCTCCAGAACACTCACCACACATCAGCTATCAGTGGGGAGGAGAGCAGAGAAGTGAAGCCAATTCAGAGATGGGGATTATTAGGAGGCCATAACTGGTAAGGCCTCCTTTTTCGAGAGACGCCCTGTGATTTTTAATGACCACAGAGAATCAGGACCTCGGTTTCACGTCTCATCCGAAGGACGGCACCCGTTTACAGTATAGTGTCCACGTCACTATACTGGGCCATTAGACTCACATGGACCGCAAGGTAAGCATCCCCTGCTGGCCCCACTCACACCTCTTCCAGCAGCAACCTTAGTTTTTCCCAGGAGGTCTCTCATCCAGGTACTGGCCAGGCTCACACCTGCTTAGCTTCAGTGGGTTGCCAGTTGTGAGTTGCAGGGTGATATGTCTGATTTTTTCTATTCGAAACGTGTTTTGTTTTTATGAAGTTCGTGTATTTTAAAGTTTAATTAAGAAGTAAAAACCTTACAGCATACACAGAGATTCTAAGATGATCACGAGGAAGAAAAATCACCCGTTTTTTGCGCATAAAAAGTGGTTATTAATTTTTAAAACCTGTTTTATAGCTTTTAAAGTCGTGCAATGTCAAGCAGGAACACATCATTATATCTAGTTTTTTATTAATTTTTTTAAGAATTAAAAAAATCATTTGCCCAGCCTAATTTTAAAGACCTCTACTTGTGAAACTTTTTGCAGCCTGTACATAAAACTATATACACAATACGGCTGACAGCAGGAAAATTCCTATACTTAGCAGCTTATTAAAAACAGCACCCATGGTGTTAAAACTAATTTTCTTTAAACAGAAGACTGACACAGCTTCACGTAGTGAATCTGTTTTTCTATGAAAACATTTGTCAGTGTGTCAGTGAGGGTGGGCTTGCTTAACCATTTCTGACAAATATTTTGTTTCAGTGAAGTATATTTGGCACTCAGTTGAGTGGAAGGTTGCATTCGTTCTTTGAAGAAATTCTGAGCCCTAACCCTAACCTAGCTAGGGTTAGGGTTAGGATTTCTGCAAAACATAGATATCTTTTGATAGCATGGTTGTGTTGTAGGGCAGAAATGACATTTACAAAAAGTGTTGTTTCAGTGAAATCTGCCAATTTTTTTTCCTTCCGTTTTTAGCTGCACTGAATTGCTTACTCTTAGTCCCTTTAGCCAATGTCTGCCTGGAATTTCCACCCCTTTAACATTGTTATATCTCTGCAGCAAAACATAGCAGGAGCCTGGTTCAGGTCTTGTTGAAGCAACCCCCTTTGCTTTGAGTGTGAACAGTCAAATTTATTATTTCTTAATGTGTCAACTCAGCAGACAAACATCTGAAAGCGGTCTTCAGAGGTCAGAATTTTCAATTCTTGGCCAGGAAATGTCCTGGGAATGATTTGAAAACCTTGTTCTAGGTGACTACTAGCTTGGATACAAATCTGGGACAAATTGATCAATTGCAGAAAATTCTACATCATGTTTTGGGAAGACTGAACCTGGAATGAAATTTCAAACATATAATAAAATATCATAAAATAAAATA